ACGGGTAGCAGCTGTTGCTCCGGAGGCGCCTGGCCAAGTGGCGCTCGGTGCAGAAGAGCCCTAGGGCCCAGAGCTGGAAGCGCTTGCCAGGGGGCGTATGAAGGCTGAAGAGGAGGTCATCGGGGATCTGGGTCTGGGTCAGGCATAAGCGGTCAGCTGGGCAGCTCTCCTGCCGCCCCTTCCCCCCCACCCCGCTCCCCCCAGTCCTACCGGTAGCGGGAATAAAATTGCCAGGACTGCAGTGAGGAGGGAGCTGGAGCACTCAGGCGATCGGCAGGGGAGACCCCAGGCGGCAGCCTAGGCTGGGCTGCGGGGTGCGCTTGGGTTCTAGAAGCTTGGGATGCTGGGTTCTAGAAGGGTCTGTATTGTTGACCACCCCTTTTCAGGAGAGTCCCCTGGCCAGGTCCCTGCTGTGGGCACTCACAGGCCCACCCCACCTGTGGGAAGCTCCTGTACAACCTGGTTCAAAACCTTTCCTGAAGGATGGGGTGGTGAGACACCCCAGGTCTAAGATGGACAGAAATCTGCAGGGGCTGTCCCCTGCATTACGGCTGCCCAGGCCAGAGCCTCACAACCGAGGGCAGCTCACCGTGGCATCTCCGAGGGTGGGACACACACTTAACCCAGGATCCCAGTCCAAGGCACAGCCACAGGCAGATTCAGGATCCTGGGGGCCCACCCCCCAAAAGAAAACCAGACCCCAGGCCAGCTCTAGCCTCTAGTGGTTCCCTCAGGTATAAGCCCTGACCACCCCCACCCCAAACCAAAGACCACACGGTTCTTAAAATGTTTATTGTAACAAAATGCTCCGACATCCAAAACTGGAGAAGGGTGCAGGGCCAGGCGGCCTAGCTGGGGGCAGGGGGGCAGGTGAGCAGCTGCTCCAGGCACCACTGGACCTCCTCTGGGCCCCGGTAGGCCCGCTTCAGGCCCCGGGGAAGGCAGCGGCAGGACTCCAGGTTGAGGTACAGCAGGCCTGGGCAGCTGCTGATCACAGAGCTGTGGGAGCAAGGTAGGCCATGGGGCACTGAGCCACTGGCTCCCAGGAGACCCCGGCCCTGCCAGGGCTCGGCCAGGCTGGGGAGCCCTCTCTGCCCATGCACCACAGCTGGCTCTGCCAACCAAGCCACTGAGGCCCAATTCCAGTTCCCTTGGTGTCCCCGAGCCCGACTCCAAGTAAGGGCTTTGCCAGTATATGCTCCCCCTTCAGACCCTGGAACTAGCAAGCCTGGCAGGACAGGAGGCATGCCACCCTGGCTCCAAAGGACAGGGGGAGGGGATGCTGACCTGACTGTGCTTGGTGTGACCCGGGTGCCCCTGAGGTTAAGGGAGCACAGGGCTGGGGGCGAGCCCCCAGGGGGGCCTGAGAAGGCGGCTAGGGCCTGCTCCAAGTCCTTCTCACTGAAGCCCTGGCCACTCAAGTCCAGTTCCCGCAGAGTGTGGCACCACTTATGGGTCAACAGGGGGCTGCCCTCTTTGGCTAGAGTCAGCCGATCGGACATGCCATACAGGCCCAGGTGCAGCTGCTCCAGCTCTGCAGGCGAGAGGGGTGGGCATGAGTTGCGGGGTGGGCAAGGGCCCCACATCACACCTGCCCTGCCGCCACCCAGGGGAGCTGACCCTGACACGGCAGGTCATACAGGCTGACGGGTGTGACGCGGGCACAGCCTCGAAGATCCAGCAGGCGCAGGCCAGGGGAACCTCGGAGCAGGCGGCTCAGAGCCTCGTTGCTCACAAAGTTGCAGGTGGAGCCGGCAAGGCAGAGCTCCTCAAGGCAGGGGAAGCCCGGGCCAGGAACCGCCGCTCGCCCCGACGGTTTGGGCAGCCACATCATGTTCAGCAGCCGCAGCACCTGGGAGCAAGGCCCAGGCTGCAGGTGGGGAGGGGCGTGCCAGGTGGGAGAGGTGGGGCGTCGGGTACCTGCAGCTGGGGGCAGCCTCTCTGCAGGGCCTCCACGGGCAGCTGGAGGGGAGTGTTGTTTCGGTGAATGCCCGTGCTCACCTCCAGGAGCTGGAGCTGGGGGCAGCAGCTGCCCTGCAGAAGTGGGGGGTGACCAGGGGGTCAATGGCCTGGCAGTCCCTGGCTCGGCACCAACTCAGCTCCTGCCTATCGCCAACCTACCAGCAAGGCACCCAAGATGGCAGTGGTCTGGGAGCCGTAGGTCAACCACAGCTTGCGCATTCGAGGCCCCACCTCCTCCAAGAAGTTCACCACGGCCGTGGACTCCACCTGAGGACCCAGCACAGGGGTGCCTGTCACTGTGGCTTGGGCTTCTTCGGGGCCCCTGGGGACACAGGGCTCACCATGGAGTGCTGAAGGTCCAGGCTGTGAAGCTGGGGGCAGGCTCTGGCCAGCATGACCAGAGTGTCCGAAGTCACACCATGGCAGTCGGAAAGCTTGAGGAAGGTGAGCCGAGGACAGGATTCACTGACCAGCTGCAGAGGACAGAGACCCCGTGGGATTGGGGGAGGGCAGGCTACCATCAACAAGAGAGAGAAACCAGTGACCGGCACCACTCTGCTGCCTCGGCTACAGCCTCCTTTCCGCCCACGCCAGGCCCACCTGGGGGCTCCTGCTTCTGACACCTCCCTGCTGGAGGAGACAACAGGGAAGGAGGACCAGGCAGGTATCCCCATGGGCCAGTGTTGGGCCCCTGGTGCCTGGCCCACTCCCTGGAAGCAATGGGCAACCCCAGAGTTTCACAGCTGGCTGCAGGGCAGCCTCCAGCACTCACCTTCAACACGGGATGTACCTGGGACTTCCAGTGGATGAGGGTCAGCCTCTGGAGCTGCGAGAACCTGGGGGGACAGCAGAGGCTGAGCTGCAAAGATTCCCACGCTGCCTTTTTCAGGGTCCTCCCGCCCATCGCCTTGGTGCAGGGACACAGGGAGGGGTCCGGGACTTTCCACACAACACAGGTAGAGTGAGCGGATGAGGAAAAGAGGGGTGCCCCACCGGTTAGGCATAAGCCACTCCAGGGAAGCGAGGAGCTTCTTCTCGGCCTTGGCGCCGCCTTTGGTGGATCGGCCAGCCAGCGGGGGCGACAGGGTCACGGTGTGCCAGAGCGCGGGCT